TTATGTATATAGGATGAAGTGAACATAAAAGATAAACTTACCTTGTAACAATTTTCGTCATGGTTTGATTAAGTTCATGATGAAGTGAACAAAAGACGACCACCGTATTATCATTTAGACACATGACTATTAATTGCCAATGACCTCTGTACGTGTGTGTGGAAACACAAAAGTCATAATTTCATGTTACCAAAATTGAACTATATATGTTACCAAAATTAAAAAATAGAAAACATAATTTCATACAAACTTACCCGTGAATAAATAGTAGCTAGTGACACTCTCTCTTTTTGTCACGTAACTTATCTTGTATGTATTGTTTGACACTTGCTTGAGTTTTCAGCACATGATCAACCTACAAACACATAACAGGGTCCATAAATCCGTATACTTCAAATTGTGAAGTATCCATACACAAATGATGAATATACCTGAAAAATTTTAAAATCAACATTATAATAAAAGTGATGAGAGATATAACATATTAATAGATATTGACACTTATAAAAATAGAAAATGTACTTACGTGCACCAAACTTGGAGAGTAGACACATCAAGCCAATTAAAACCCACCAGCAGCTCTCTGATACACTTAGCTGACATATGAAAATTACTGGCGCTTGCACAATGACTTAATTCTATTGCCAAATGATCATCACCCATTCTTAGAACCATTCTCATTAATCTCTCAACATTGTCTTCTCCTTCTCTTTCTTTTGTGCTTGCTTTTGCAGCAGAACAACTTTATTTTCCGCTTCGATCAACAACTTCCCATTGTACAATGCATTTATTATTATTTTCAGTGCTTTGTTGCGAGAGACCCATAGACCTAAGTGTCTCCATGAAAGATTGTTCCATCGCCTTACGCTCTTTAGCCAACTTTTGGTCAAAATAAGCTCTAAGCTTTGCTTCTAATTCAGATGAAAACTGTGCAAATTGTTCTCTTATATCTTCTTGTCGTTGACACGAAGAAGATCTGCCAAAGAAAGTGCTTTGTTTATGGTGTTTTCCAACACCACGAACACGGCCGCCATGCTCAGATGTTCCAATGGCTGCTGTTAAGATATCGTTACGTCCATCTAGAACAAAGCCACAATTTTCAGCTTCTTCAACTAGAGAATCCTACAAAATGAAAAAGCCATATTTTTTTTATCAATCACATATATAACTAGAGAATCCTACAAAATGAAAAAACCATATTTTTTACTTACAATTTTCTCAGCAACAACTTGTGTAGCCTTTGATGTGTATTCTCCCCCTTTCTTTTATCGTGCTCTCTTTTATAACTCATGGCGCGATAGTGGAGATGGGATACCAGTATCATCTAAGGTAGAATCATCTCTCGATGATCTCATTTCATTTATCATTTTCTCCTCAAGCAAACGATACCCTCCACGAGATGATACATGTGGGTATACATTCTTAGCCACATTTGTTGCACCCTTTTTACTTTTTTCCTATTATAAACTCAAAAAGTTATTAATCATACTAAACAGAATAAAAATGTTATGCACAAAAAAAAGTATAACTCCTTCTAACCTTAAATTCAGGGGTATCTTGAGACTGCACAAAATCCTTCCATACTTCTTCTTTAATATAATTATACCTGATATATGGAGGAGCTAGACCTTCTTTGGGGTGTCTAATATACTCGCTTAAGAGTTATGTCTTAAAAGCTCTCCATCGCTCTCCTGCATATGTAATCCATTCTTTCTTCAACAGATCCTTCTTTGGATCATGAGGTTCTGAAATAGTGAAATGAGCCTACACATATAGTATATGGCATATGTTGTTAAGATATGATTATAAAATATAATAAAGTGTAGCAGTTAAAAATACCTGAACATCAAACCAAATAGCCTTTTTATGCCTTCGTCTATGTCTTTCCACTCATTTTTCAAAATACTACATCTCTGTCGAGCAAGAGACGCTATGTAACTCTTAACATTTGAAGCATTTTTACCCATACATCCCTTAGTTATTGGATGAAACTCGACCTTTATCTTTTCACCCGTTTGATGAACTTTGTTAATTTGTGTCATCAAAGTGGGACCTCTATCTCTTCTTTTTTTAGGGTCACTAGATGAAGAAGGGTTGTCGGTTGAATCAGCCATGTATCTGTTAACACAAAATAAAAACAATTAGAAATCAAATTAAGCACAAAATAAAAACAATTAGACATCAAATTAAGCACAACATAAAAAGAAATAGAAATTAAAGTAATGTCAAATTAACGTATAAAATAACCTTAGTTGTCCTCCCATATCCCTTCTTCATGATCTATGCGAATAGCATGCACGTCATCATCTTCGTTTTCTTCAACGAAGGTAGGAACATTCATTGAGAAAGGAGGAGTTTTGGAAATATCAAAGTTCACATCTTGATTTTCATCACTATCATGCACATTTCCTTGTATAACCACTAACCACCTTTTATTAGAAGGATCTATGACATAAAACACTTGTTTTGCTTAAGACGCCATGATGAAAGGTTCGTCCGCATAAGCTAGCTTTCTAAGATCAACTGATGTAACTCCTAATTCATCGATTCTTACACCATTGTTGATATCAATCCATTTGCATTTAAATACAGGAACTTTAAACACAACATAATCAACTTCCCAAATCTCTTCAATCACCCCAAAGTAGGGTGGATATGCCATAACCGGGTTTTTATCTTTAGCACTAGAGAAGTGCATGGACCCGGTCACAATCATAACCCCACTATTTTGTGTGGTACTACGATCATTCTTTGACTTTATACAAAAGCAAGTTTTATTAATATCATATCCACTCCAAGTTATTATGTTACATTTAGGCTCATAGGATAACCACTTAATTCTATTGGAAGCACTATCCTCATTAGAAATTTTTTCTTTAAACCACTCAGAGAAACTCTTATTATGCTTATTTAACAACCATCTTTCATTCATCTTGGGGTACTTTTTATTTATGATGCTTTTGTGAGCAGATAAGTAAGGTTGAACTTCATCCGTGTTATTCAATATATACAAATGCGCTCGAAGAACCACATTAATACTTAAGCTCTTGACCTTTAAACCTTATGTACCCACACCCTCACATCTTCCATCATGACGAGACTTGGGAACCCCTACAAAATCCACTTCTGAAAAATAGTTTGAACAAAACTCAATTACTTCTTCTGTGATGTACCTCTCAACAATTGATGCTTCCAGATGGTGTGGTTTTTTGTATACCCTTTTAGGATCTTCATATATCGCTCTGTTGGATACATCCACCGTAAATAAATTAGACCACATAATCTAATCTCCCTTACCAGATGAACAATCAAGTGTACCATAATGTCAAAAAACGAAGGAGGAAAATACATCTCTAATTGGCATAAGATAATTGCAGCCTCATTTTCCAAATTGTCTAGCTTTAATGGATCAATGGTTTTACAAAAAATTGCATTGAAAAATAAGCACAACCTAGTTATAGTCTTCCTAACATTGTTAGGAAATATCCCACGAATAACCACTGGTAGTAGCTGTTGCATTAAGACATGACAGTCATGAGATTTTAATCCAATTAATTTGAGATCTTTACCTGAGACAAGCCTATTGACATTTGATGAGTAACCATGCAGCACTTTAATACTTTGTAAACACTCACAAAAACTTATTTTCTCTTTTATAGACAGAGTATAGCAGGCAGGAGGCAAATAATCTTGTTACCTATATGTTGTGGAGTTAACTCTTCTCGTATACCCATCAAACCCAAATCCAGACGAGCATTATAACCATCTTTTGTCTTGCCTTGAATGTTGAGAAGTGTTCCGATTAAACTATCACATACATTTTTCTCCACGTGCATCACATCAATACAATGTCTTACATCAAGACTAGACCAATATGGAAGATTGAAGAAAATCGACCTCTTTTTCCATATATTTTTCACAGTAGATTTCTTTTGGTACTTTCCAAAGACGACATTAATAACCTGTTGTCGTTGATAAACTTCCTCTTCAGTTAAGGCCTTTGGAGAAACACCATGCTCTTGTTCCCCATTGAAAGCTTTCCGCAATCTACGATATGGATGATAACGATCAATAAATTTTTGATGCCCAAGATAAACAGTCTTCTTTCCTTTTTCAAGTTGAAGGTAACATGTGTCTTTTTCACATATAGGACATGCTCTATGCCCTTTAACTTTATAACAAGACAAATTTCCATATGCCGGAAAATCGTTGATGGTGTAAAATAACATGGAATGCATATTGAACTGTTCACCAGAATACGCATCAAAAACATCCACCCCTTCCTCCCATAACACTTTTAAATCATTAATCAGAGGACTTAGATAAACATCTATGTCATTTCCGGGTTGTTTCGGGCCCGAAATCATCATTGATAACATAATATATTTACGCTTCATGCACAACCTAGGAGATAGGTTGTAGATCATCAGGAGAACAGGCCAACAAGTATGGTTAGTACTTAGATTACCAAATGGATTCATTACATCAGTTGAAAGTCCAAGTCTAAGGTTTCTCGAATCTTTGCCAAAATTTGGAAACAAAGCATCTATTTTCTTCCATTGTAAAGAATCAGCTACATGGTGAATTTTTCCATCACACTTTCTTTCTTCTACATGCCATCTAAGATTCTTTGCGTCATTTTCATTAGCGAATAGTCTCTTGAATCTTAAAATTATTGGTAGGTACCATACCACTTTCGCGGGAGGAACCTTTTTTACCGCCTCATCATCACTAGAATCACCAGCTTTCTTTTTGTAGCGTGACGCCTTGCACTTCGGACAATGATTATAGTTTACATACTCTTTTCTGTATAATATGAAATCATTAGGGCATGCATGTATCTTTTCATACTCCAAACCCATCGAACACAATATCTTTTTTTGCCTCGTAATAACGATTTGGCATTATGTTACCTTCTGGAAGTATCTGTGTCAACAATTCAAGCAATTCGGTAAAACTTTTGTTAGTCCACCCATTATTTTCCTTCAAATTAAACAATTTTAACACGGTTGACAAACGTGTAAAATTTGTGCATCCCGGGTACAAAGGTTTATCCTTGTCACTGCATAAATGTCTTCCAAACAATCATCCATTTCTGCATTAACATTATCTCTTTGGGACACATTTGACTTTGCTACTACCTCACTGTGCCATATCCATTGTGTATAACTTTGACAAACCCTATGACAAATTAGATGATCCATGATTTCTTTCTTATTGAGTTTTGGTTCGTGATTTGCACAACGAACACATGGACAGAGAAAAAGTAGATGAAGACTTTTTTCAGCATCACTCTTAGGAGGAGCAAGATTTGTTTTAGCATTACTTTCAGCAAGCTCTAGAAATTCCATCACTCCATGTTCGTACTCGAAACTTAATTGATTGGCTCTCATCAAACTACGATTCATACATATGTTCCAAAATTATTAATGCATACAGAGTTAAACCATTGGGACGCCTATAATAGTCCCTCTTTTGGACATTATAGAGAACAAACGTCTCTACGTGTATACACGTGGCAATAAAGAAGAATTGAGAAGTTATAAAGAATGAAAAGAGAACCTGCAATGTTGTGGCGGCCGAATGACTCGCGGTTAAGAGAAAAAGAGGGACACAAATTCTGCGAGAAACGAAATATCAATAAATTGAAGCAATTGGAGTTTATTTGGTTAATTAGTTATTTTATTTTCAGATACCAAAATAAGAGAAACAACAAAGAGGGTACAAAACTTACACTATGCACTCAAGCTTGTATTTAGACAAAGTCAATGATAGGATTTGTCACCAAGATGGGATTTAGACAAAGTACAGAAACTGCAACCAAATCATTAGGACAATCATTAGGACAATGATAGGATTCTCATAATTTATTTTCATGATCAACCATTGTAATAACAACAGAAAGTTTTTCACTACTCTTTTTTTTTCCGGAACAACCAAAAAACAAATTTATTGAAAAAATGTCGTTTAAACTCAAAAGTCACAACTTTCTTTTCAAGTAGAATCATTTCTAAAGAAACATAGTCAATTCAATTTTAAAAGCTTCAAACATGTTTAAATCAATTATGCACATCCAAAATCAAATTCTAGATGTTCCAAACGTGAAAAACAAACATATACTGAAATACATTGGACAACACTAGCATTCATCAATCTCACAAATTCACCATCAAAAGAGAATCAATCTCAAAAAATAAACAACCATAAATCACTATAAAAAAATCACTTACTTATTACCCTTAATCTTGAACCAAGTCTCAGCACAATGTTTATGCACAACAGGAAAACGAAACAGAAGAGGTGACGAAATCCGTGAGGGAATGACGGAGGAGGGAGGTTTCGTCGTGGGTCGTGGGCGGAGGGAGGACGGCGCGCGCACGGTCGGAGGGAGGAACGGTCGTGGGTCGTGGGTGGGGCGGAGGCAGGACGGCGCTTTCGTGGGACGGAGGGAGGACAGTGTGGGTCTGAAGGGAGGGAGGAACGGCGAACGGACATCGCGGGTGGGAGGGAGAAATGAAGGTTCGTCGTGGGTTTGAAATGTGCAGGTTTTTGTGAAGAAACCATATTTGAGGGTTTTTAAATCGGTTTTTACATCGCTGGAATTTAAAACCGATTTAAAATCCATGTTTTAATTAACTTTTTAAATTGGTGGAAATAAACCCGATTAAAAATCCATCTTTTAATTTACTTTTTAAATCGGTTAGAACCAAAACCGATTTAAAATTCCATTTTTTAATTTTTTTAATTATTACTTTTAGGGGGCTTTTTAAATCGGTGGATTTTAAAACCGATTTAAAATCCATGTTTTTATTAACTTTTTAAATCGGTGGAAACAAACCCGATTTAAAATCCCATTTTTTATATTTTTTTAATATTGTTTTTTAAATCGGTTGGAACGATACCGGATTTAAAAACCCTTTTAATAGTTTTTTTTCAAATTTTTACATCGGTGGATTAAATGGAATTTTAATAAATTTTTTTGAGTTTATGTAGTGTAAATAACATTTTTGATTTTATAAAATAAATAAGTATTTGAGTTTGAGTGGTTTAATATACATCTTCAATTGTTGTTTCTGCTCTGTTAAAGTTTGATGTACATTTGAGTTTGAGTGTTGTAAATAACATTTTTTATTTGATGAAATAAATATGTATTTGAGTTTGAGGGTTTTAATATGCATCTTCAATTGTTGTTTCTGTTCTGTTACCGTTTAAACAATATAGTTATAAAATGGAAAATTTTCAAAATACAAAAACTTATTTTTTAGAAAAACATATAATTTAACGACGATTTTTCATTATGTCCGTGGTTGTATATTTAAAATGCGTTGAGAATTAAACCTGAGACCTTTTTATATATGATAACGGTTTGGTACAACCCGAAAGAGTTGCCCACAATTGAGGTTAAAAGGCTCAGTGCGAACTTCGAATTCCCATAAACGACATCAATGATCCGATCGACCTCAAGTCCTCGTCACTACATCTAAGAGATATTTTTAGCTTTGGGTGTTAGAATCCTCCAATGTGCCTCCTTGAGTTGAGATGTATGAGTGTTCATATAAACTATCGTGAGGTTCAACTTTCAGGCAATGTGGAGTTATTTTGATTGAACCGAAACAATTTACAAACATATTAGGGTTTATTAATAATTAGACCAATCCAATTTATCATTTATTCACCAAAAATAAAATATATTATCGAGCAATTCTTTGATTTCACATAACCTCATATATTCAAGGTTTTGTATCGATTTGGTTGACACAATTCCCCGTTACATCCGGCCTCAATTTGCAGCCTTTTCTTGTTTTCTTCTGCCATTTCTATATTGACCTCTCTTATGTTATGTTCCCTCTTTCTAAAATTTGCAACTAGTTGACAACAAGCCAAGCACAAGCTCTATTTCAATGCCTAACATTTTTATAACATTTCGAATTAAAGTTTCCTACTACACGAGTTATACGTATACGACTATTCTATTGACTTTAATACGAAAGAGCAGAGAGCCGTGAATAGACCGAAATAGATTTTTTATTTTTTTTGTTTCTAAAAAATAGAAAAATAGTCCTAATGTCACTTTAGAAAACAAGAACAATACAAAAATTCAAAGTCTCTTTATCACTTATTTATGAAACAATTTTTTGTTTCATGTAAAACTAATCTAAATGATTAAAATTATTGTATTTTTATATAAATAAACACCTGCATTTTATATGTTATGTTGAATTGTCATTTATATTTTATTTTGAATTTCATAGATATATTATGATAGCATAAAGACATTATGCATTGTTAAATTATAGTCGTTAAATTTTTAAAAATATTTGACTTTTATTTTAGTGATTTTCAAATTAACTCTATAAATAATTGTGATACATTCACGGTAAAAATAATTTTACACAATGCATAAAATTTAAATTCAAGACATTATGTTTTTTTAACCTATTGTAGAATTGAGTTAAAAAATTTGTTTAAATAATTTTTTCGTCTCTGCAAGTTGTCGTGTTACTATTTTTTGTCTTAATATTTTTTGAAATAATTCATCAATGTTAGTTAAGTTTTTTTGGTTTTAATCATTACTGAAAAATATGCCGGTTTCCTAAGGATTTTCTTTCAAATTTTTCTACAAATTTAAAATCTAGAAGCCTCATGCAGATTTCCTTCAAAATTTTGTGTGGATTTTTACTTTAGTGAATAAAACCAAAATAATTTTAATATTTAGAGACTATTTCAAAAAAAAAAGGGGATTAAAATAAAAAACGCACCAACTCAGAGATAAAAAAGACTATCTAGGCCTACAAAATGTTATTGAGTAAACCACCTCTACAAACTTTTTTAAGATTTTAACTATTGTAGTTATTTAATCAAATAGTCAACACTTTTAAATGTTTACTATATGTTTAATTGAGTTTATTAGATAAAGTATTAAATAATTTAGACAAAATTATACCAGGGGTCCTTTAAGTTATTCTATTGTAATATGTTAGTCCTTTAAGTTTTCTTTTTGCAACAAGTTGGTCCTTTAAATTAACTAACATGTGCATCGTTGACCTTTTTTACAAACTTCATTCCGAAAAAGGTTATGGGGCACTAACATCGATGATGTGTCAGTTAACATTGCGGGGTGGGTATTTGTCTTCTTCAACGAAGTCAGAAGTCTCAATCCTTCATTTCGAGCGCATTCCAACCTAAAATTGAGCCAACATGTTTGTGTGGAGCCAAAGTAGTGATAAGAAAAGTTAAGAAAAATGAAGAAACTTAGGGAAGATTTTGTAGGGTTATAGATACTTTATGGTACATTTATTGCTTTATTTTTCTTTGTCTTTTATGGTTTTGCAAAGATTAGCTAATGTGTTGTGAATGTCATTATAAACAGAGTGAATGTGATACTTATGGATGCAATTATATTGAGTGGTATGAAAAAGAATAAAGGAATGAAGTAAAATCAGAAATACAGCAGTCAGCAATTTCTAAATGTTCAAAATGTAAGGAAAAGGATGTAGAAATCAACATACTTAGAAGGGACATTGAAAAGATCCAAGGAGATGACAACTACACTAAGGAGATGATGAAGAACATGTTGAAGATGTTGAAGATGCTAGTCTTTGCCATAATGTTTTTAGTTTTGGTTTTTGTAATGTTGGTGTGTATTTTGGTCATGAAATGGTGATTATGGTTAATGTTGATGTTAGCGTTGTAAGACTTTTGGTCCTTTAGTGTAAAACTGGTTGTGTATGGTTAATGTTGCACTTATTTCTATTTTGTGTTGCACTTCTGTCAAATTTTATATTGCACTAAGGATCTAATTTTTGTTGCACTTCTGTCAAATTGTATGTTGCACTAAGGATCTAATTTGTATACGAATGAAAATTTGAAGGACCTATTTGTTACAATTTAAAAACATAAAGGACATGTTTTGTTACAATGATAAGGACATAAATTAACATAAACATTACAGATTGATAACATTAACCAATGCCCTATTATAGTAAATGGAACATAAATATCAAGAACATCAAGGACATGTTTGATATCAGTAACATTACATATTGTTATAGTAAATGACACATAAAGGACCTAACATTCCAATCTCTAAAAATACATTGATAAGGCTGATGCGTGCTATCCACAATAATACGGAGTGTATCAAAGCAATATAATAGGTTGTCGAATCTTACAGAGACCTAATGGTCAATCTATCATCTTCTATTGCTACAGTGTTTATCTAAGGCGATCATAAAAAGGTTATGGAAGTAAGAACAAAATGAAATAATAAACTTTTAACAAATTCAAAGATGCAATACTGGAATGCAACTCTCATCAAACAACAATACTCTTACCATTTCAAAATAGAACTACTTACGGGACACTATTTTCTCATTTAAAAAAGATTCAATTAAAAAGGATTTGTCAC